GGGAGGGGGGGAGGGAGGAAGGAAGGGGTGAGTGGGTGGTAGAGCCAGCCAGGTTTCCAGCCCAGATGTGCTAGATGCCAGAACCCAGGCAACTAACCATTGATACTTGAGCAAATACCCAAGTTCAAACAGCTATTAAGTTTGAAGCAATTAGTGGCAGAAAAAAAATCAAGAAGGAGGAGAAATATTTAAAAACACTAAGTGCAAAAGAATAGGGCAATAAACACGGTTACTTGCAAATGGTTGTTACATGGGGGGGTGGGCACTGCAGACCAGAGCAGGGAAGACCAGAGTAGATGGTGGGTGCTCAGCTGCCCCCACTCCCACCCTCGAGCAGGACCAGGCTGCCTACCGGCTTTGCTGCAGTCCACCAGGAAGGAGCTCTTCTGGCCCACGAAGGCCTTCAAGAGCCCTGCCCCCTTGGAGGTCACCTTGCTGGCGTCTGAGGATGCCTTGGGGATGGCGCTGTAGCAGGTCTCTGTTGAGGACCTGGTCACCGACTCCACCAGGATGGATGAGGTCTCGTTAGCCAAGCCGGGGCTGACCAGACGCTGGCCTAGGACATGAAAGGGAGGGAGGAGGGCATGAATGACCAGGCCAAGTGGGTCTCTCAGCCAGAGAAGGAAAGTGCCCCCGCACCCCAACACCTGGATCCAAAAGCCACCACTTCCCCATCTCACGCCCAGAATGTCTTCTAATCCCCCTGGGGTCTTGCCCCACGCAACTAGGTTCCAGCTTTCTGGGCAAATGAACGAGTCTGGCCTTGGCTGAGGAGGCCTGGAAATCCCTCCCACATAACCATGTGCCACCTGGCAGAACCCACATTTCCATCTGTATCAAGCACTCTACGTATAAGCAGTGCAGAGCTTATAGGCATGCGCAGCGTAGACATCTGAAAGGGTAAACATCAAAATGATTCTCTGCATGGAAGGGGATGATTTTTCTTTTTTCCTTGTTTTAAAAAAATATATCTTTATTGATTTTAGAGAGAGGAAGGGAGAAGGAGAGAGAGAGATAGAAACATCAATGATGAGAGTCATTGATCAGCTCCAGCGCGCAACCTGGGCATGTGCCCTGACAGGGAATTGAACCCCGATCTCCTGGATCCTAGGTCAATGCTCAACTGCTGAGCCACACCTGGCCAGGCTCTTTTTTCCTTTTAAAAAATTTTTTATTGATTGATTTTTAGAGGAAGGGAGAGAGAGAGAGAAACATCGATTTGTTGCTCCACTTATTTATGTATTCATTGGTTGATTCTTATATGTGCCCTGACCGGGGATCAAACCCGTAATCTTGGTGTATCAGGACAAGGCTCCAACAGAGCTACTCGGCCAGGACGAGACGATGATTTTTCTATCTGAATTTTTAAATTTTCAGCAGTGAACTTATATTGCTTATATGATAGTGAATTAAACAGAGAGAGACACGTGGGAGGAATTTACCACAATACTTATGGTGGTTACCTTGATGGAGGCTGTGAGGTGGTTTTACTGTTTGGTATTTTTCCCAGTGTTCTGAAGGAAGCACATTTTTATAAATTTAATAAAAACTTTTTATTATTTTTAAAGTGAAGGGAAATGATTGAGGGGATTTTTTCCCAGGCCCTGATCTAAACAAATACATAAGATTTCAAATATGTAACCATTTCTTTTTTTCTATTAGAGACAGAACCCATCTAACGTGCTTTCTCAACTTCCACACTCTACTTCTACCTACATATTTTGCAAGTTTCAAACATACACCCCCCTCTACCTGTCCTACCATTTCTTTTTCTTTTTTAATTGATTTTTTAGAGAGAAGGGAGAGAGAGAGAGACATCAATGTGAGGGAGAGACTTCAATCAGTTGCCTCCCGCACATGGCCCGACCGGGTATTGAACCCGCAACCTGGGTATCTGACTGGGAACTGAACCACCACCCCCTGGTGTACTCCAACCAACTGAGCCACACAGGCCAGGGCCCTACCATTTCTTTACAATCAGGATTCAAAGTAGATTCAACATATCTAAAATCATCCACAGTTTCTACTATCAAATAGCTCTGTTGATATTCTGATAAGGGAGCAGAGAATAATATCAAAGGTATTTGGTTACCTGTCACCTTGGCCTTGAAAGGACTGCCCACGATATGATTGGGCCCACCATATTTGACGCCAATTAGGTAGTTTCCAGGAGCCATGGGGGTGTACATGACTTTGTACCCTTCTGGGGTTTCCTGGCAATCCATTTTAACCTTGGACGGGCCTTCGATGGTGACGGATAACGTCCCTGGTCCTGCTCGGGTGGTGTTGATGAAAAATTCAGACTGGATACCTGGGAGAAAGGAAGCGGGAGTAAATACCATGTTGATGGCTTGGAGGGATGGTGGGGGTAGGGTTTGGGGAGCTCTCCTAGGGGCACTGAAGTAGTGACGGGCACACACAGGATCCCTCAAAGAATGGTCACTTTAGTGGCATGGGAACCCACCAGTACTAGTTTTGAACTCCTGGCACAGGGAGCTGCAGGCCCTGGGGTTGGTAACTCCCTTTCCAAGGCCCAGGCAGGAGTGCGGCTGACATTTCGCCCACCAGCACCCACTGCCTGGACACCCTGTTCTCTCTTCTGGGCATGAGTGGTGGCCGAGGGCGAGAAGCCTGAGGGTCATTGTGAGCCTGAAGTGCTGCTTCAGCCGCCAGGGTCCAGCTCTGCCTCTAGGGGGTGGGGAAGCGTGGGCCCCTCTGACCTTTCCTTCCTCCTTTGGGTGGACTTGGAGAAGCCAAAGAGTCTGAGCGCCCCTCCTTCCTCTACAGGCTCCTTGACCCAGACACCATGCTGGAGACTGGAACAGCCACTAGGATCTGTCACCCGCCCTCATTTGCAATGAATAATACCAGCAACGAGAGCAGGACCAGCAAAGCAGCTGTGGCTAACTGAGCACCACTGGCAGCATTCAGGCTCTAGAGCCTGCTAACAAAGGACACGGAGGCTCAGGGAGGTTCAGTCCCTGCCAATCAGAGTTACAAAGTGAGAGCTGGGATCTGAACAGTCTGCGCAGCGCCAGAACCCAGGCCCATCTCTTGGCCACTGGGTGGAAGCATGGCGGCCTTGGATGCCCTAACTGCAGCCCCAGGACACCCTACCTCTTACCCAGCCCACGAAGGCCTCCTGCATAGGCCCCTGTAGGACAGAAGGAAAGCTGGGCAAGAGTGCCAACTGATGACCACGCAGCATTCCTGCCTGAGCCCAACGCCCTGCGAAAGCCCCCACCCCCTCAGGCCCCTTTCCAGTCCTGAGGGGGATGAGCTGGTCCGTGAGGGGCACTTGGAGGCCCAGACACCAGCTGTGTGCCTGCTACAATGTCCTCTATGCGGCATCCCTGGCACAGCAGCCCCACGCAGGGCTGTGCTTTTTCCAGAGCCCTGGACAGGCCCCAGCTGGGAACTATTTTGGTTTAATTATAGCTCCCAGGCCAGAGAAAGAATTATTGTTCTGGTTATCAATAAAACAAAGGAGCTGCTATCATGCAACTCTCAAACACAACCCAGCTGTTTCTGGAAGCTCCCGAGGCTTTGTCCCAGCACCCTGCTCACCCCCATTTCAGCCCTGTATCTAAACTGTGAGCCCCTTGGGCAGCAGCTGCTGCAGCGAGCTGAGTGGGAAGGGCGGTGGTGAAGAGCACCGACGGCACTCCCAGGAAGCAGCTGCAAGGCGACCACCGAAAGACATTTTTAAAGTGGAGATGAGAAGACCTGGCTGCTGTGAAAGAAGCCCCACCCTTTTAACAAGAGGCTCCATTCCTGAGAAAAATCAGTTCCTCCTGACTGTGAGGGCGTGGAAGGCAGGGAAGATGCAGTGGGAAAAGGGAAATAAGGAATTAGAGGAAGAGCTACATGGAACAACCTGCCATGTGGGCTCCCTCACTATTCCCATTTTATAGGAAGGAAGCGAAGGTTCAGTGAGACCAAATAACTCACCCCGAGTCCCGCAGCCAGAGAGTGGCACAACAGGAGTTAAACACGAGGTCTGCTCAACGTGGAGCTGACGCACTTGCCCGAGAGAAGACCGGAGAGAGGATCCACAAACAGGAGTCCCCCTCGCCACTGCCTCCAGCTGGAACCACTGACACCCCAAACATCCTGAGCACTCTGCATGCACAGCTGAGTTCCCAGGAGGGTCATGCGTGTGTAATGCAGCCCTACTCCGTCTTCAAGGTAGGAGAGGAGGGGAGGAGGCTCTCTGTTCATGCACATTGGGGTTCCTGGCACATTTCATCAGGAAAACTGCTCTCTCAGCCCAGAGAGTCTGGAATTCCTTGGTCTAACACCCGACCTCTCGACCCCTCTGCAGCAGAGTCCCACCCCAAATTCTCCACACGCCCCTGCTCCCAAACCTGCAGAATGGACCATTTAAAGCTCGAGCCAAAAGATACAGCAAGTCCACCCATGAAAACACAGGGAAGTTTGCTTTGTCCAGAAGGTCAGGATGCCAGGCCCTCCGGCAGCCGAGCACAGCCACCTTTTCATTCCATGCACACTGCAGCTGTGTAATCTTGCGAAGGATATTTGGGAAAAGGCTTGGGAGCAGGAGGGCTAGAAAAACAAGACGCCTTCCCCTTGACAAGAGCAATATTTACACAGGGTTTGAAACAGGCATACTCTGTACCTCTCCCTCCTGGTTGGGAGTCTCCCAGCAAGACCAGCTCCTCTCAGCAGCATCTAGGGCTTGCAAAACACAGCCTGAAACCAGAGTTCCCGAGAAGGCCTGTGAACAGCCAAGAGGAAGCCCAGAGGCCCCAACACAGCAGGTGTGACCCAGCAGGAGGGTGAGGTGGCTGCTGGCAGCTGCAGGAGACCTCAGTGGCTGCTGTGGGTTCTGGTCCAAGGCCTGCTGTGGCTCCAAGTGCCAGGAGGACCCCACCTGAGCTTCGATGGTGGGTGGCTTGCCAGGGGCCAAATGCTTATACTACTGCCTAGGAAACATTCCAGGGCAGCTGGGAGGACAGGGGTCCTGGTTTATGACCGCCACCACCACCACCACAAAGTGGGCAGGGTGCAGTCACTGCCCCGGGTGAGCCAGACATTTGGGGAGGCAGCAAAACTTAGGGGTGAAAGGTATAGGCTCTAAGGTGTGGAACCTGGGCTGATGCCTGGTTCTGCCCTCTCCAGCTAAGTAAGCTTTGGGGAGTGACTCAATCTTTCAAGTCTCACTTTCCTCATCTGTAAAATGGACATTGCTTAGGGTGAAACCATACTATGCCTTTTACAAAGGACAAGCTGCTGGACCAGAGTTCAGTGTGGAGCCAGATGGGCCTGAGGAGTCTGGAAGCACGCCACCCCCAATGGGTGGTCCTGCTGGGCCACTGTCTGGCCAGAGTCCCAGATGGAACATCAGCAGGTCAAGTCACTCCTGCACCTGGGCAGGGCACCTGGGCCACTTAGGACACTCACACCCCAGGTAACCATGGGCACTCATGCCTCTGCCATGGGGAGGTGGGTCTGCTTTGTCCACTCACTGCACTGGGGAGACTAAGAGCAGTGTACACACACAAGGGGCTCAAGAAACTGGGACTGGGCAGCCTTCCTGGGGGCCAAAGCAACACCCACATGCAAACTGTGTCCCAGGTAGCCGATGCCTGTGGCCTTTCCCTGCAGAGAAGCATAACTGGATAAGCTCCCTGGAACTCTCTATAATGGTGACACACTGGACACCCACCTCTAGGTTCACTGTCTGAACACCAACTGCAGCCATTACAAGGGGGAGATCTGTATGTTTTGACATGGAAAGTTCTTTAAGATGTCAAGTGAACCCCGGCTGGGCGTGGCTCAGCAGTTGAGCATCAACCTAGGATCCAGGTGATCAGGGTTCAATTCCCAGTCAGGGCACATTCCCAGGTTGCGGGCTCGATCCCCAGTTGGGGGCGTGCAGGAGGCACTAAATCAATGACTCTCTCATCACTGATGTTTCTCTCTCTCTCTCTCTCTCCTTTCCTCTCTCTGAAATAATAAAGATATATTTAAAAAAAAAAAAAGTCAAGTGAAAATAGCAAACTGTACAACAATATGGACATTAAGATTATTTCTGTATTAAGACACAGTATATGTCTACCTTTCTAGTGAACCGACTGGCTAAGCAACCAAGCGGCCAAGAATGAAGACTGCCAGAGACAATCCCAAGGGCCACGAAGACTGACAGAGACAGTCCCAAGGGCCTCCCCTGAACTGTTAGCCGTGTTTGCTCCTGGACCAGGAGGGAGGAAGGAGATGCAGAGACGGAATGCGTTTCACCTTATATACTTCCTCGCTGCCTAAATTTTTCATAATCAAACCTGTCCCATCTGTACAAAGGTTAAAAATAAATTGTAATGAGTCCAAAAATGCCAGAATTCTTCAACTGTTTCAGTCTTTTCTCCTCCGTCATTAGGATCAGAGAATAAAAAGAGGAGATAGACCGTGACAGGTCTTACTGCCAATTCAATGTGTTTCTGGGAGCCTGGGGACCACTAAAGGCACTAACAGGTAGCGGACCTCCCAGGAGGCCTGTTATATGCATCATGAATTTTGTGCAGGCAAAGAAACCCTCAAAATGAATGGAGCTGTGCCCTACTCCTATCAGCATCAGCATCCTGGCCCTACAGTCAAGGAACTTGGCAAAGAAAGCCAGCTGAAGCACGACAAACAGTAACGAGGTACGACAGTCTCCAAAGTGTGCCTATCCCAGTGTCCCCGGGGACAGCGCGAACAAGGCTTGGAGACTGCCATCTGGCTCTGTCCCCGGAGCCGGCTCGTTAAAGACCAGGGAGAAGCAGTACGTTACCTGTGGTGCCCCCCTCAAGTCCTGTGCCGTAGGCCGACACCAGGGCCGGGTTCCCCGCTTGTCCGGGCTCCCCAACGCGCACTTTGAAGGGACTTCCAACCACGTGGCTCCCATTGAACTTGACATCGATCGTGTGGACGCCGTTCTCGTGGGGGATGAAGCGAACAGCGTACTTATCTACAAGAGTGAGCAGAAGCACAGGGTAAAAGCGGGCGGATGGACACCCCTGAGTTAAGCGAGGACAAAGGACAGGAAGCCAACCTGACGAGGCCAATTTTAAATCTTTAATGCGACAACGGTTCTACTGAAAGCCCGGCAGGTTGGATTTCAAAACCAGATGGGCCTATCCGTGTGTCCTCAGTCAGCCCTTTGGGAAATGCATCCAAATTGCAGGTTGTTTAATCCTCTGTGGTCTCTGCCTCAGAAGAACACTTCCTTTATGGAAAGCTCACTTCTTGCAAAGTTTCTCCACTTGGCCCCTTGAGGAAAAAGTGGCTCCAACTGGGGTTAATGCTCCTGAGTTAAGCTCCAGGCTAGCAACTGCCCCCAGGGTAACAGCCAGGTTTTTCACTGAGTTTGGGCCGCAGCATGTGGCAAGATAACTGTTAACTGACATGGACACATCCATCTGTCCTGCACCACCTGCCCACTCTTCCTCCTTGAAGCACTCGCTGGGATGCAGGCAGCCTGCTCTTCTCCCTCCCTACTCACCCCTTACCCCTTCAGAATTTGTGCCCCCTAAAGCTCTACCCAAACCCTCGTCCCTTCTCCCCTGGTACTCTCTCTCCAGAGGTGAACATCTACGGGCAACCGCCCACCCACACCTTTCAACACTGCACTTCCCAAGAGCCGCTAGCTGGGTACCCACCCCTCCTCTCTTAAAGCCTGTGTGCTTCACAGGAAGGGGACCCTGCCCCCACGCCAGGTATGGCCCCTGATTGGACCAAGCTACAGGGGGGAGGGGGGCGAGATCCCTCTTTCCCCAAGTCATCCATCAGCACATGGCACTTAGCCACTGAAAGTGGCTTGGGAACAGGCATGGGTGTGCAGTGTGCCGTGAGATAAGAGGGAAGTTTGCTGGAGACCTCTGGAAAAGGAGTATCTTAGGCTTCTGAGAAAGATTCTTCAGGAGAGACGTCTCTCTTGATTGGTGTGGTGTGAAGATGGGAAATCTGGGGTTGCGGCAACCATCTTGTCACCAAGAAGAACGCCAGTCTCAGAGTGAGGCCCACAAAGCAGAAGAAAGAGCGGAGATATTTGGGGTCTTGGAGGACATCGCTGAATGGCTGAATTAAATTGTTGCTGAAGCTCACCTTAGAGCCTGAATTTTCCAGTTATGGGAATTAACAGGCCCCTTTATTGTGTGTTGGCTTAAGTTGGGTGTTAATTTGCAACCAACAGCACCCTAACTGTGGCATGCTGGCGGTCTCAGATACCAAACTTCACTTGTTTGCTAAATCCCAATGGCTCTAGAGATCTATTAAACATCCTTACTTGGATATCTGGGGGACACTGCAAAACTCCTCAGAAGGCCTTATAAAGTGCCTTTAGGGTCTTAGCCAGTTCTCACCCAGGCATGGCTGGCTGTCCCTAGTTTTGCTAACTTAATCAACATCTTTCTACCCAAGCACCAAGCTACATGTAACCTTTCTGAATTCACTTGCATTCCCTATGGCCATCTGGTCACCAAGTGTTATAGTTCTCTGGCTTCAAGTCCCCCCTTCTCTGTTTCCAACACTGCTGATTCATGTTATTTTCTGAAATGGACCACTCTGGGAGCATCGGCTTGCCACTCTGCCTTTCAGATATTCCAACACATCCTTTATGACATGGTCAGACTTAAACCAAACCAAGATCTGATCAGGGCACCTACCCCCACATTTATGCCTTCTGAGGCTCTTCACTTCCCTTTCCTTTTCTGCCCAGCTGGAGAAAGACATCTAAATGCTAACGTGGGTCCTTGATCTCTGCCTTCTGTACACACAGCAAATGCCCAATAAGGGCAGTGATCCGAGGGCTCTTCCTCTTGCATTAGGGCCCACAGTCAATTCACTTCCTCTGAGAAGCCCCCCTGACCTTGCCAAGGCCCAAACCATTTCCTTTCCTGCTCTAAACAATTTTACCAATTGGCTCTCAATCCTCCTGTGGTATCGGTGATCACACAGGGTCCTCACCAGTGTTCTGCAGGCTTGTGGCCAGGTCCTTACTTGACTCTGGGCTCCTCTTTAAGGGCAGGAATCACGTCTCACTCAGCCTTACCTTCCTGCCACGTCTCTGACACTAAATGTTCACTGGCAAAATGTCTCATTAAAGTTGATTGAAATCAGAATTCCATACATCAAGGCAGCAGGCAAGAAAATCTTATGCCATTAAGCATCCTGGGCCTCCTATGAAGCATCCTGGAGACCCAGATTCTCTTTTAAATTTAAAGATGAACATCAATTAAACTTTCCCTTACCGTGAAGTCAGGTCAAAGTGTACTTATTCATAAGTTCAACAATATAATAAAATCTGTAAGATTTTGTTAAAATATGACAGAAAATCACAATGACTAATGTGAAAGGAATCTGAAAAACAGAAAACAAAGCAGTATTTGGGAAAAAAAGAAAAAAGAATGAGGGGAAGGAACAGGAACAAAAATAAGAGAAAAAGAGAGGATATTAAATCTCTCAAAGTATCTCCCTGTCTATCCCTGGCAATGTTTATACCCTAATCTACAAACAATGTCTGGCAATAACAGCAAAGGGAATTGGAGGGCTCCCTGGCCGTGGTGAGGCCGGCAGTCCTGTCAGGGTGCACGCTGGCAGACACGTTCCCGGGGAGGCGGTGGTGCTGGAACCGCAGAGCCTGCCTCCTGCTTACCTGGCTCCAGCTCCGACACGTGGCATTCCTCCACGGCTCCGGAGGGGCTGTGCACCTTTGCATCAATCTTTCCTTTTGCTCCATTCAGCCTTATAGCAAAGGAGGCTGGCTGGTTAACCTTTAATCCCGATTCCTGAGAATTTAATACATTAGACAAGGTTACAGTTCTCGGCGTTCCTGCTCAGTAGCACACGCTGACCCGACCTGGGACTCCAGGAACAGTGCTCATGCAAATAAGCCCAGCATGTTTAACCCCATCCAACAACAGAAGCAGGTGGGTCATTTCACATTTCCAGTATTAAATATAAGAAAGCAGAGACACATATCTGCACGGTCTTGTGCCCAAACCATCTTGATTCAGGCTGGAAGAGGTTACAGGGTTTGGAGACTCAAGACATCCCAATCAATAGGACTATTGTTTCAGCAGCCTAAACAGGTCATCAAAAAAATAAAAATAAGGGCCCTGCCCAGCCGGTGTGGCTCAGTGGTTGAGTGTCAACCCATGAACCAAGAGGTCACCAGTTCAATTCCCGGTCAGGGCACATGCCCAGGTTGCAGGCTCGATCCCCAGCAGGGGGCGTGCAGGAACTAACCAATCGATGTTTCTCTCTCATTGATGTTTCTATCTCTCTATCCCTCTTCCTTCCTCTCTCTAAAAAAAAATTTTTTTTTTTAAATCAATAAAAATATATTAAAAATAAATAAATAAATTAGGGCCCCCCTTTAGGAGGAGACTGGCAGCTGATAAAACCATACACTCAGTAACATGAAAAAGTTTCATATCTGCTATTTTTTACCTGGAAGGTAGGAATGGAGAGAACTTTTAATAAACGTGTAAAGGGATACACGTGCATGGAAAGCAGTCAGTACTGCACAGTGTTTACGAATCAGCAGGCCCTGGGCCACTCCCATTTCCCAGCTATATAACTAAGCTACTGTTTAACCTTGATCAGCCTCAGTCTCCTCATGTGTAAACTGTGTGTAATAACTGAGTCTATCTCAGAGAGCTGCTGTGAGGATGGAATGAAGTTATGCGCTCAAAGCACTCAGCACAGTGCTTGGCCCATACTGTTAATATGCATTTTGAAGTTGTCTCTACCCCTAAAAAACAAAGAGAGAGAGAGAAGTATAACTTTTGCTAGTCACTGGATCAGTTTCACTCTCTACATTTTGTCTCGGAAACTATAGCCTCTCTGGGAAGAAGGGATTAGAAGCTTAGGTGTTTAAGATATTTTCAGGTCAGCCAATCCTGAACAGCAACATTTTACAAGTCAGCAGTTTTGATGTAAACTTGGTTGGACAGCCACTGCTCAGATGACTCTAAAACAGCAGGGTTCACACTTAATGTGCAATCGAAGCACCCAGGGGTCCTGTTAACATGCACATTCTGATCCAGAGGGTGTAGGGTGGGGCCTGGGGTTCTAGGATTCTAGTTAGTTCCCAGGCGATGCCGAGGCTGCTGGTCCAAGGCCCACATCTCAGAAGCGAGGCACTAAAGCTGGACTGCCCAATTCAGCATTCACTGGCCACATGTGGCTTTATCACTGCATACTTAAATTTAAATAAATTAAAATTAAATAATTAAAATTCAGTTCCTCAGTCATACTAGCCATATTTCAAAGAGAAGATGTGGGGCATTTCCATTGTTGCAGAACATCCTATTAGACTGCACAACCCTAGAGGTCATAGACTGGGGTTACAGACCAAACTCAAAATTAAGTTGTCTTTGATCACCAGATCGGCCCCATCCCTCCACCCACTTCTCCACAAAATGCCAGCCGACTCCAATTTTCTAAAAAGCCTCAAAAGCAAGACAAAACAATATGTGCCTCTTTCCTAACCAGCACCAGATGTTGCTGTGCAGGCCTCCAGCAAATCTCCAATAAATAATTTACATATCGCTCGGCATCAAGTGACCCGAGGAAGAACAGGGGACGAAGCTGACACACACGTCGCTCCTGCTAGCCGGTCATACAGCCTGCTGCATACTTATTTAAATATTTACGACCAAACTGCGATGAGAGGACTCCACAGAAAAGTTCGCTGGAGAGGATTTCCACAAACCAGCTCCCTTTGACAGAACCAGTTACATTACCTGAATCCGCTTGCCGCTAAACCCTCAAGAGGGAGATAAACACCTCGGAAGATCCAAAAGAAATCTTCGAGATGCATGAAGGCAACTCTCTGCCCTCAACAAATGCTGGGTTTATCTCCCTCCTTAGGCTTTAGATAAGTCGGCCACACAAGGAACTTCTGTTAAGAAGCCTTTAAATGAAACACAAGAAAAACATCTGCACCACGGCGACCAGCTGGCACCCTGGTACTCTCCAGATGAGGCCTCTTCAATCTGTGGACTGTGATCCTGGCTGGGGTTCTGTCTGGGTCCTCATGTCTGGAATGACTAGTGGTACCAGTTCCCCTCAGGGAGAGGTTAACATCTCAAATGTAAACCAAGTGTAGGAACTGGATCACCCATCTGAGGTACGAGACTGGGTTTCAGTCAATCCAGGATTTTTAAGACCTAGGGGGAGGTTGAAGGCTATTTAGAAAGCCCTTTAACCAGATATCATACTTTTGAGAGATTCTGGTGCTTTCCACAACTGAATTGCCACTTCTGCTTCAGACATCTAATTATTTTTCAGTGTCCTGAGCAAAGGCTCAAAGGCATCCCACAATGGTTCTTGGTTTGGCTGAAGGCTCCAATGCAACCTTGAGTTCAGTCCTGTTTAAGATAGGAGGTAAAGCTGCATTTCCTGGCACTGCAATAGGTTGTACTATGCAGCCACTTGCCACAATGCCAAGGTGGGGATTAAGGAGGCCACAGTTAAGACCACTTGTTCTGGAGCCACAAAGAACTCACTCTGCCTCATACTAGCTGGTTTCTAGTAGCCATAAGCTCCCGTACCTCAGTTTTTCCATCTTTAAAATGGGGTCAAGAGAAAACCTAATCACCAGGCAAGGTGAGTTGCAAAGATTTAATGAAGTAAAACTGATAAAGTTCTTAGCAAAGTGCCTTACGCACTTATTATAAATAAATCATCATAATAAAACAAAACACAACTGACTTCCTGGAGGAAAAAGAAGTCAATAATTGCAGGCTAAACATCACTGGCTGTTAGTTTTGTGTTTTGTTTTGAAAGCTCTCCCTAGCCCTTAACTAATTATTAACAGGTCTCCTTTGTTTCTCTTGAATAAATATTTAAAAAACCAACTTGTCCCCAAACACTGAGGTGTTTTATTGACTGTGGCTCTGTTTTGCTCCCCAACTGTCTCCTGTCCTATGTGGGGAGCTGACCCTGCCAAGGGAACACTTCCCTACAATGGGCAACATCTGTGGTCAACATGGGCTGGGACCCTCAGCCCTGAAGGAGATTGAAGCGGCCTCAGGAGTCCAGGGTCTCACTGGTTGCCGTGTGGCTAAGGAGATGGATGCTTCCTTGCGTCTCACCTGAAGGCTCATAACAGTGAGGCGGCGGGCGTCGTCAGAGGGGGCGATGACCGGCACCAGGTAGGGGCTTTCAGGGATGTGTTCATCATTAAACTTGATAGACACCTCGTAGTTACCTGTGGGGACAAGAAAGTGGTTCCAGTGAGGCCTGCTGCTTCTTTACCTAGGGTGAAAATGCCGTCCGAGAGCCCTCGCCCTCCTCTCCATGGCCATGGCTGATCGGTTAAGGGCCATGGCTCAGGCTGGGCCAATATGACTTTCTTAGTTGGGCAAAGGTAGCAATTCTTAGCATGGGTCCACAGGGTCCCTCAAAGGGCCTCTGTATAAAACTCAGGAGATCCATGAAGCTTGAGAGAAAAATTATATCTTTGCTTTCACTAAAGCTCTAGCTGAAATTCAGCATTTCCTTTCTTTAGAAATGTAGACGAGAAACCACAGCACATTAAAAGTACTTGTGCCCAGCCAGCATGGCTCAGGGACTGAGCATCAACCTATGATCCAGGAGATCGGGGTTTGATTCCTGGTCAGGGCACATGCCCCGGTTGTGGGCTTGATCCCCAGCAGGGGGCGTGCAGGAGGCAGCCGATCAATGACTCTCATCATTGATGTTTCTGTCTCTCTCTCCCTCTCCCTTCCTCTCTCTGAAATCAATAAAGACATATTTAAAAATAAACAAATAATAAAAGTACTTGTGACTTTGTTACCAACAAAGTTCATCAATATTTTCGTATCATTTTACACTTTTACATATACCTTGACATGTCATTTATACTCAGTTATTTTGAAATTAAGGTAGTTAACAGGCCATTACCCAATTTTAGACTTACTGTATTGATGAAGATGTGCACACCTTAGTATGTGATACTGATAATTACATTTTAATATAGTTGATTTCTTTTATAATCCAATGTAATTTATATTATGTATTTCAAACATTATCCTGAGGCGGGTCCCCAAAGGCTTTAGATGCCAAAGGGGTTCATGGTATAAAGCGTTAAGGACCCCTGCTGAAGGGAGTGCTGGTGCTGGTTATATAAAGCCCCTCCTTTGGAGCAGCCACACGAGCCAATGGCTGAGGATGGGCACAGAGGCTGGTCAGTGGAAAGAATGAAGCAAATGAATGAAGCACGAAGCAGACAGGCTGACAGAGAAAAACAGGAGACAGTGAGAACTAGAATTCCTGCCCTTAGAGGACTGGCTGCATCTCTTGCCACTGGATTTCCAGGCAGTGCTTCATGTGCCCATAGAGATAAACTCCTTTTACTTGAGCTAGCTCAGTGGGTTTCTGTTCCTCATGACCGAATCACCTCAAAGAAAATGTCTTAAGTTGGTTCTTGAATACATACCAGGCTCTTGGGCAATATAAGACACACCGCATGACCCGTTTTTATGGTCATCAAATGTAATCTCGGCCTTACTGGGGCCTTCAACAGCGATGGACAGGCCCCCGGCGCCTGCTTCCCGGGTCCAGATGCTGAACTCGGCTGAGACAAAGAAACACCTGGTTAGTGCCTGAGCCTGGCAGAGGTCCCTCTTCTCGCCCAAACCCGCAGTGCTTGGTTACTTTTATTGACAGGCCTTTTCTTTCCGCAACCCCAGCAGAACCCAAGCAAAGGCTCTGCTGATGTTTCCTAGGTACCGTCCATGACACCACTAAGTTCATGAGCCACTGGGCATCTCTGAACATACCCAAACCAAGCTAAAAAAAGGTGAGAATGTTTAGTTTTGTTCCCACAGGCCTCCCAACCAGCAACACCACTCGAAGGGCACTTCACAATGGGTTTTGTTGAAATCTAATGTGTTCCACAGAACATTGGCCCTGCGAGATTACTCTGTCCCCCTTCTCCAAGGCTCACCACACACAGTAACTATTCCAAGGAGCCCCTCAGTAAGAAACTTGTTTAATTAGCATTGGGTAAATGAGCAAGAGCTGAATGAACTTAGCCAGAGAAGTCTTGTTTTAAAGAATGCCCCTTAATACCACCCATCAGAATCTCGCACACACAGCCTTCTCTTGAGAACAGGGCGAGGAGGGCAGGGTGCTCGCACCCCAGGCCGAGCTCTGCCTCCTCTCAAGTGCAAAGCCTGCCCCGGCTCACCTGGGACTCCTGCTTCTCCCCTCTCCAGGCCGGGGCCTCCTGCCCGCACCTTGTGGGCGCCGCCCTCACCCAGGGGCCCCACGGTGAACTGGAAGGGGCTGCCGGTCACATGCTGGCCGCGGTACTTGACGCTGACCGTGTGCACGCCCATCTCCTGGGGCACAAAGCGAACGCAGTGCGAGTTCTTCCCCACGGGCACAATCTCTGCCTCGGTCACGCGGCCGGAGGGGCTGGTGACGTGGGCCGACATGTCACTGCTGTCAATTTCTGAAAGGGAGTGAAAGGTTGGGGGAAGGGGAGAGGGTTGACGTGGGCTCCCGAGGCAGAACAGGGTGTGCAAGGCAAGCAGCAGAGGGCAAGCGGGTGCAGCTCGGGGTGTCGGGTGCTCAGTCTGGACACCTGCCCTCCTGTCTCCCTCAGATCCCTGGGTGGCTGTGGCAGCATGGAAAGAGCTAGGCCCTTGCAGCCACTAGTGCAAAGAACATTCTAGGGACACTGATAATTCTTGCTTCACCGAGTACTTGTACAGCCTTCCTGGCTGGGGCTGAGTTAATTCCACACATCAGTTTCAAACAGGAGCCGGAGCTGATAGCTACTGCACATAAATATAAAAACTATGATAGCTCAGATGTTTCTAAGCCAAAGGTGACATGTGGCCATTGTCATGCTCATAGGGGCTCTTTTCCATAGGCAGGTTAGGGCAGAAAACACAAGAGTTGTCATTCCCTACTGTCAAGAAGGCTTGGCAATTCTTCTAGTTAACAAGACAAAGGCATTTAGAGAAAAAGGTGAACACACGCCAGTCCCAACAGCAAACGGGAAACCATGTGCGAGCAAAGCTTGGAGCAAGCCCACACCAGGAAGCAGGCCACGTCTCCTCCGCCCGAGGTGCTCGCGCCATGCCAAGGGCTGTGCCTGCACTGACGGAGTGGACACAGGCACGCCACATGCTGGGGACCAAGTAATGCCATCACCTAAAGCGACATGAAACTGCACCCTCCAGCCCTACAGGATCTGGGCTGAGCAGCACATGACTTTGAGCCCTGAGGACAGAGAAAGGAAAGGAAGGGAGGTTGAGGACAGGGCCACTCCACATGGCTTGGGTCCAAGGACATCTGGAAGCTGGTAAGTCATCCTCCATTCTAACTGATAAGAGAGAATCATTTAGGTAATGAGGGGAAAAGTGAGTCTCACCCAGTCATCTGGTACCAAGTAGCTGGAAAGGGTAAAAAGGAGTCAAGAGCCAGAAAAGACTAAAGAGGAAAAGTAACTGTCCACATCACACAAATAAAGACACAAAGAGGCAAAGGGAACAGAACGGGTAATTTGCAAAATGAGATGTGGAAAGCAAAAGAGAAGCCCCTGTCACTAGTGACCAGAGAAATGAAATTGAAAACTGGAAACCGCATTTTTCCATCAGATGGGTCAAAGTGAGAGTGATAAACAGTGCCCAGTGCTGGTGGAGAAACAGAGAAACGGGCACCAACTCATGTTCTGGAGGGCAGGCTGCCAAGGCATAGCAGCCCCTGAACTCACCGGCCCAGCACAACAGCCTGGGCGCAGTGGCCAGTGTCACAGAGCAGACTATGGGAGTGGAGGGAGGGAAGTGAGTGCGTGTGAAATGAGAAAACCCAACGAAAGGTGGGACATCCAGACACAAAATGGAATCCTGTGTATTCATTAAAAAGAAACTTTATGGCCCTGGCCAGTGTGGCTCAGTTGGTTGGAGTGCCATCGTGTACACAAAAAGGCCACTGGTCCGATTCCTGGTCAAGGCACATACCTAGGCTGATCCCTGGTCGGGGCGCATACCAGAGGCAACTGGTCGATGTTTCTCTCTCTCTCCCTTCTTCTCTGTCTCTAANGAACCAGCAACCCTTCAGTGCACTGGACAACGCTCAACTGAGCCACTCAAGCACAGCCATCCTTCTTCTTGTGACGAGATGATACATTGCCTAAGTGATGAGATGAAGTGCGGTACTCAAGACCACACACAATTTAAAACTCATGAAATTTTCCAGGTAATATTTTTGAACCACCCACGGTTGACCATGGATAACTGAAACCAGGAAAAGCAAAACTTGGGATGGGGGGTACTGTACATATATAAATGATAGCCATTTTTATTACGATGAAGGTCAGGGTGATGAGCATGTAAAGAAGTCTGGCTTATGCACTGCCTGGCATGGTAAATACAAAAAAAAGTTCAGCCCGGCCAGCATGGCTCAGTGGTTGAGCATGGGCCTATGAATCAGGACATCAGGGTTCCATTCCCAGTCAGGGCACATGCCCAGGTTACAGGCTCCATCCCCAGCAGGGACATGTAGGAGGCAGCCAATTGATGATGTTTCTCTCTCAGATGGATTATGTTTCTCTCACTAATGTTTCTATTTCTCTATCCCTCTCCCTTCCTCTCGCTCTCTAAAAAAAAAAAAAAAAAAAAAAAAAACATTTTAAAAAAAAAAAAAAAAAAAAAGAAAGAAACTTTATGGTTACAATCCAGACAGCTCTTTTAAAGTGATCCTGACTGGACACCACAGAGGCCTTTACCACATTCATACACGACTGACGTTGTGTCTACAACACCAAAAATTTGAAGAACCCATCAAATATTGCTCAGAGGGCAGAACAAATAGATACACGACATGTTAGGAAAGACAGGAAAAGAGCCCGCTCTCCAGACCAGAACATGAGCGTCATCTGAAGACCAGATTTTCCATCTCACAGAATCTGGGCAACTAACTGCACAGCACATGCCAGCTTCTGGGCAGAGGAGCCTCAGAACCTCCACTCACACAGCGACCCCTCTTTTGAAGGATTTTTTTACAGAAAGAACCTGGGCCACATTTCAGAAAGACTATGGCAGTTTACTGACTAATTTGGCCCCATGGGGAACAATTTATGGCCGAAGGGCCAGATGTGCCCTGCAGCACAGCCCTCATTCTGATTCTAGGAATGAAAGAGATGAATGAGAATTAGAAGGCTGCTGCTGGCCTGACATCTCTTTAATACGTCCAGACACTGGCACCAGCAGGGCCAGACCTCTCACTGAGATTACTCTATTCCACAAATACTAAATTAAAATCTAAGAGCTTATCTATTTCCACCCCCACCCTCCCACCATGTGATACAACAAAGCTATTTTCATTTGGAAGAAGAAAAACATAGCAGGTAAGCAGATTTATTTTTCCTGAATGAGTCTCTGTGAAAATAAGTATTAAAAACATTAATTTAAAATTTTAAAAATAAAATAAGTCACCCATACTGGACTTGGATGGTATGTTCTGGGCCATGCCTGGACTTGGTTTCCAATAGCAACCAATGCTCTGACCCATGGGCCCCTTGTGCTCACCTGGGATTTTCAGGTTCAGGTCACAGATGCTCCCGACAGTGGCCACAGATGGGGCTCGACTGGTACGGGTGATGCTTTCCTTGACTCTCCCCTCCCCACTGATCTTCACAGTAAACGGGCTCCCTGCAAAAACCAAGAAGGCCCTCATGAGCAACCCAGAGCCCAAGGCACAGCCCTTACAGAAAACCCAAGCAGCAGGCAGAGAGGGCAGAGGGGACCACACATACCAGGCACATGTTCGTCAGCGAATTTGGTGGAGACAATGTAAACACCAGGCACAGTGGGGAAGTAGGAGACCTTACAGGTACCATCTTCCAGGTCCTCGGTCTGGATATCTACTTTGCTGGGGCCTTCCACCGCCAGGGATATGCCACCATAACCTGCAACACAGTAGCCGGGGCTGTTTTGACAGCAACTCATTTGGAAGGGGGAGTTCAATACATACAGAAAGGAAATCTGACCCTGGAAATTCATACTGCTATTTCCAGAAAGCAAAAAGAAAGTAACTGTGATCCCTGATGGAGAGAGCCCCAGGCAGAGGAGCAGGTTAAAGGCTCTGAGAAGTCCTGTAGTAAAATAACATGCTGAACATGACTATGACCACAGAACCCTTTTCTTGAGGATATCTACTACTATCCCACGGAGCACCTGTCCTGCAGAACCCACTGGGGCAAACACTCTGCCCACATGCCTCCAAGAACAGCATGCACTGCCTCTTGGGTTCATCGCCAGCTATAGGCCTGAAAATCTGAATTGTTAAGCTGCTCTGGACCTCTAGCCAGGGGACCACTAAGACAGCAGATATGAATGTTTAACAAGAGGAGTAAACAGGGAGCATCAGCACATCATCACCAGGATCTGTCCAACCCTTTCCCCTGGGACTATGACTTTGTCTAGAGGTCACCAATATGGTCATCACTCAAGAAGGCGGAAGATGAAGACACTGGATGAGGCATAGGTTGGGGAGGCCCAGACTAATTCAAACCATCGCAAAGAGGAAACAGGAAGAGTCCTCATTTCCACGAAAGCACTGTGAGCAGAACACGGTCTTGGCCAGCTGGCCCAACAGCCTTGCTTGGGATAAGCCCAAGAGACCCTGGGAAGCTGAGAGCAATGTTGGGAGTACAGATAACGAGAGAAAGAAATCTGTGAGTTGTAGTGGCCCTGGGTTCAAATGCCAGAAGCAGAAGGCTGTTAACCCCTGTAAGCCTCCAGTTCTTCATCTAGAAAACAAAGAAAATATCTACTTTGCCAGTGGTCATCGGGTTTATATGATAATGCAGTTATAAGGACAGACAGCTTGAAGGATGCTCAGAAAGAAAAGGGAGTTGGTAGGATGAAAACATGAAGCAGCCTGAGCAAAAAAGCAGCCCAACCCCGCAAGCCCTGGGCCTTTCCCTGGGTCCACCCCACAGACCTGCATCCCTCGTGTCCACGATGAACTCAGACATCTCAAACGTCCGGCCTTCTGACAGGCCTCGGCCGTAGACTTTGGCTCTTCGGGCATCACCGATCTCGGACTGGACCACCATGATGGACACGGGACTGTTGGCCACATGGTTGCCGTTCTTCTTGATGCTGACCAGATGTTCGCCCACCTCCCGGGGGATGAAGGAGATGCCTGGACCAGGGCACACATTAGGGTTTGTAAGAGGTGGAGGAAAGGGGATAAGAGGTGGGAGAAAGGGGAGACAGGAGAGGAACTGGGAGGAAGACACACTTGCAGGAATGGAAATATGACTCCCTGACTTTCTGGCAACCCCAGAGTGTCCATGAGGGTGGTCAATCTGGCAACACGGAAATGCACTGAACTTCTATCACGCGTGTGACACAGAAGGTTTATCACATCACACTCCAAGGTGTTACCTATTTTCCAATAAAGGACCAAAGGAATCCTCAGCTCCCACCCAGTGTCCCAGCTCCATCCAGGAAGGCCGCCTGGGCTCACCGATGTGATTGTTGGGCAGCCGCTTCAGGAGACAGGGCTCGTCACGGCCGGACGGGGCCTTAATGCTGGCCGTCAGGGTGCTGAGGTCGGTCTCGCTGATGTCGAGCAGGAAGTCGGCGGCAGAGCCCAACTTCACCTGAGAGCACCGTCTGCTGTCATCTGGGAAACACCCCCCCAACCATGGCTCCTGTCACATGTGGTCACCCAGCTCTCTGGAGCTTTCACCCCACATGCTGCTTACCAGTGAACAGCCAGAATTAACTACCCAAAGTCAACTGAAAAAACACACCTAGTGGACCTAATCAACAATGAATGACTTCTACGTATGCCTGGGGAAGGGGAAGACCAGATGCTGGCAAGAACTGGAGCCTTGAGTCCTCAAGGACAACTTTTTAAAGGAGTCTTTGCCCGTGAAGGCACCTGCCTGCCATTCCCTTGGGCATTTCCCAGGTATACACTCATCATGGTCCACACAGGACTGCGGGCTGCTTCACAGGCAGGTCTAAACAACTCAGGCAAGAACTTCATCCTGTGCATCTTTTTTATGACCCACTGAGAGCAGGATCCGAGCACAGCGAGCGCAACAGAGGTGAGCAGCAGGGCTTGAATCAGATAACCTCAATCTCAGCCCTAGAATATCCACATGAAAACTTGGCTAAGCCACTCTCTCTCTAAGCCTCAGTTTTCCAGCAGTGATGCTGAAGGGCATCTCTGGGCTCATGGATTCATGCAATCGCTATTATTTGAATGCCTCTATTTGGGGGTCTGCTATTTGCATGCTGGAGTCAGGCTAGAACAAAATAACTGCTCTCCTATGGTGTGAGTGCTTTTCCCTGGATTACCAGCTAATGGAGGAATCAGCCTGTCCAACGTTGGCCTTGCACCCCCAGGTTCTCCCTAGTGAAACCTAAACCCGGGTACCTAGCCTGCTGCCCCTGGTCAGATGCAGAAACAGGCTGTTGGGACCTGGCAAGCCAGGCAACCCTACCTGTGATCTTGGCTGTGAAGGGGCTGCCAGGGATGTGCTTGTCATTGTACTTGACCAGAATGCTGTAGTCGCCTGGCAGGGTGGGCAGGTAGGTCACTGTGCACGTCCCATCTTTGTTGTCAATGCAGCTGATTTCGGCCTTTGAGGGCCCCTCAATAGCCAAGTCCAGACCCCCTGTGAATGGGAGCGGGGAGGGAGGGTCATCAGGGAGAGTGCTTGTTTCCACAGGGGCAGCAACTCATCCAGGGCAGCCCTGAGGCCGGATGTCAGACTGACACAGGCCATGTGAGCCGCAGGCAAGGGGCATAGGTCAGACCTAGAGCACAGCACCCCACTACCTGAATTCTCCACTGCACAAACCCTGGAGGTCTTACTACTCTTCGGAATGTGTGGGATGAGAAAGGATGGAGCCCTGCAATCAACCACACACACAGAGGAATGTCACACACACTGTCCCTGCGGGGGAGGTGCTGGAGGCTACTGTGGAAATCTCATTAGAAACACAAATTTTAAAGTCTCCACAGAGACAATGGGCATGCACACAGAGCTTTATCTAGAATGGGCCACTAAGTAACTCATGCGGTCCCGTGGATACATATACATGTGCCAAAAGAACAAAACAGCCCAGCCGCTTGGCTCAGTGGTTAAATGTTGACCTATGAACCAGGAGGCCACAGTTTGATTCCTGGTCAGGGCACATGCCCAAGTTTCGGGCTCGATCCCCAGTAGGGGGTGGGCAAGAGGCAGTTGATCAATGACTCTCTCTCATCACTGATGTTCCTATCTCTCTCCCTCTCCTTTCCTCTCTCTGAAATCAATAAAAAGATTTTTTTTTATTAAAAAAAGAACAAAACCAAAAATGTTATCAACCAAAACACTTAAATTTCAGACAAGTCACATCAAACATTTCACAGCATGAATCAGAGCTCAATCAGTACCCACGGAACTTCAAAAATCCCTGTTTTGGGTAGAAGACAGAGCAGCTGCACATAAGAGATTTACATGAAACAAAAGATAAGGCCAATACTACTATCCAACAGTTTTATTTTTAAAAGCTGCCCTAGAATTGTGTCTACTTGATTCTCCAAATGGAAAGCTGAAAGCATATGACCACATAAATGACTTGGTACCTTCTCCTGCATCCTCGGTGACAATGGTAAAGGTGGCAGTTTTGTTGGCTACTCCATATACCAGTCCCGGACCGTAAGCAGAAACGCTCCCACTGTTGGGGTAGTTCACGTAGAACTGGAGTGGGCTCTCTGGGTTTGCAAAGAACACAAACAAAATTGGGACTCAGTGAGGGGGGAATGCATACCTTGGACAGCCGGCGGGTGTGGCATCTCCTATGCAGAAGCAGAGCAAAAACTGAGCCTCTGGTGGAGCTTGTCATCCTAGGACACCCAAGAGGGTCTACTCACTATTGTTCCTTTAATGTTACTTAAGAAAAAGAACTCTGCTCTAGACTAGAGAAGGGCTAAAGCAGGGGAGTCCAGCTCAACTTGACTAATTAGAAGGAAACAGCCGACCATGTGAAGAAATAGCTCACTCCAAGAGGGAACACAGCTGGAAAGGTCCTTTGGGGAGGCAAAATGTAAGGTCTATACACCCATCCCACACTGTGGGAATTTATCCCACTGTGGTCCTCCCTACCCACCCCTCTCCCACTCCTAGCCCTATGTAAGTACTTCCATTCCACAGTGGTCAGATGCAAATTAGGAAAAGACCCCAGTGCCCAACAATAGGGGGTTGGTTAAATAAACAATGTTCTACTTTCAGGTCATTAAAGAATGAGGGAGTCTGTATGCACTAACTTGAGAGATTATCCATAATGTGTTTCATTAAAAAGAAAAAAGGGCAAGTGGCTATATAATATTATACCATTATCCCATTCCTTTAGAAACAAAACAGAACAAAATTATAGGCATGTTTGTAGGTACCACGAGAAACATTTGTACACAGACCAGCAGGGGAAGTAGGAGGGAAATGGAAGACATTTTTTACTTTCTCTACATTTGCATCTTTAGAATATTTAAATAGAAGATAATACATTTTTGCTTTGAACAAATATTATGCACACATATACACATAAACCAAAGCAAACATCAAAGTGGGAGAAATATTTGCAACTCCTATCACAAAGGGCTAATCTCTCCAGTATTTAAATTGCTCTCAGAAACTGATATGACAAAGGCCAATAACCAAACAAAAAAATCAGGCCATGGATACAAACGTTCAGTGCACAGAAAAAGGAAATACAAATGGTACTTAAACATATAGAAAGTTGCTCAATCTCATTCACAAGAGAAACACAAATAAAGTAAGACTGAGATACTGTTTTTTCAATGATCGGTTTGGCAAGGCATAGATCCAAAAATCTGATAGCATAATCCACTGGCAAATTTGTGAAAAAGTAGGTGTCCTCCTACATGGCTGGTGAGTGTGTGAATTGGAAGAGTCCTGATAAAAGGCAATTTGGCAAGTTCTAGCAAAATGATAGATGCCTGGCCCCAACAGTGTGGCTCAATGGTTGAGTGTCTTCCCATAAACCAGGAGGTCATGATTTGATTTCCAGTCAGGGCACATGCCTGGGTCTGGGGCTTGATCCCCAGTAGGGGGTATGCAGGAGGCAGCCGATCACTGAGTCTCTCTCATCATTGATGTTTCTCTCTCTCTCTCCCTTCCTCTCTCTGAAATCAGTAAACATACTATAGCATATATGCACAACCTAAGGACACAGACAATGGTGGGGTGAGGGACTGAGGAGGGGGATGGGACAGGGTGGAAAGGGGCATTGGGGAGAAAAAGGGACATCTGTATTATTTTAAACAAAAATAAAATTTAAAAAAGAAAAATAATAATAAAATAAAAAATAAAATAAAAATAAAAACATACCAAAAAAAAAAAAAAAAGACAAATGCCTGTACCTGTGGCCAGAAAGTCCTCCACGAAAAACTCACAGATACGCCTTTGCAAGTGTGACATGCTTAATGGGAAAAGCTATTCACTGCAGCCAAAGGTGGGGAAGAAGCTAAATGCCCTCCAACTGGGGCAATGGTGAAATATGTAATGGTTTCCCCAATGGTGGGACTCTGAAGATGCTCTATCATTCGGATGTACAAAGTTCTCCTACACACAAAAAGGCAAGGACAATACTGTGAAGGGGATGCTACTATTTATGTAAAACATGAGGATTAGAAATCTATATTCTTGTTTGCTTGTAGAGCCTTAAAAATATTCTGAAACCCAACATAAAAAATTAACAGGTTCAAGGAAAGGGTAAATGGGGGTTATGGGTGGGAAGGAAGTCCTTCTGTGCATCATTTTTAAAACTATGTGTATGTTGCCTACCCAAAATATTAAATTAAGAAATGGAGAAGTGCTTAAACAATTTTTTTAAAAGAACAATACAGTGCTGGTTGGTGGGTGTGAAACCTAAGCTGGCTTATGTGACAATAGGCAGCTTGTACTCTTCTCACAACCTCTCCTTCCGCCCAAACCCCCACGCCAAGCAGGGTTCTGCAGGCCAGGCTGGAAAGTCCCCTGATGCGCATAACAGTTTTCTCTCAGCTCACCCTTTGGCCACACTCGGCACAGTGACAAAGACAAATAACCACGGACCTAAGGGCCTGCGCTGTGACCCAGGACACTTAGATGCATCATTCCTTCTGGAAATTAGCTAGATCCACAGGCTGTTTGGTTTCACAGGGACGCCAACACTTCATTCCCCAACCTGCCACTGGGAACTGTTTCCCACACAGCTGCTGGCCGTACGTCTGCAAACCTCCCAGGAGTTCAGGCTCCCGAGTCCTGGAGTCCCACGAGGCATGCGCGGAGCCCAACTCACCGGGGATGTGGCTGCCCATGTATTTAATGTGCATCTCATGGAGCCCGACCTCAGTGGGGGCATATCTGACGGTGACCGTGCCATCCTTGTTGTCCACAATCTCAGGTGTGGCAGTCTTCCCAGAAGGCATGTGGACCTCTCCTATTGGAGCACAGGGAGACAGGGCAATGAGCCCACGGGCTACTCACCCCAGAAAAGCCAAACACCAAGGCACAGGTGGCCTTCAAAATAAAGGTTTTCAGATCCAGGAAACTCACTGCTGCCTAAAACCTCCAAGTTCCAGAACAGGAAAACAGACTCGCATTTCCCTTTATTTTGTTCCTTTTTGCTCCCACAAAACACAGCAGGCAACTCCTAAGTAAAGGGTTTTCTACTTTGTAAAGACAATTTAGAACCCTGAGTGGGACTTGAGAAGACCACAGGAGAGGATTAGTAGAGCGTCAACTCGAAGAGAAGGCACTAAAAAGAGACTGGCAGAGAAAGTAACTCTTGCACAATAGACCTCAGGGTCAGTATCCTATCTGGAAAAGTGGAAGACTGAGAGAAGGCAGGAAAAAGGGGGAACAGGAACCTAATAGTTGAGAAGTATCTAAACATAGTAGTTCTTAACCTGGAGAGAATCCCCAGCTCTCTCCAGGATGTAATGCAAATTATAAATGAACCATCTCTTCAGAGACACACATAGATACACAAAACATTCTGCAACCTCAGGGGCTCATGGACTGACTCCCTAGAGCAAGAACCAGGGATGCTGGGATGATGAACGCAGGTCTGGGGAGCAAGTCTGGGGGACAGGTGGAGCCACCACCCGGGCACCTTTCTGGAAAGCTAGTGAGGACGAGATGGCATTCCCAGCAGTGCTTACCGGTAATTTCTCCTTTTCTGACCGCAAACGGAATGACCAAGTCGAAAGGTTTAAAGCCCAGGCCGTTCATGTCACTCACTGGGACATAGGCCTCTTCGGTGACCTAAAAACAGGAAGCAGTGGTCACTGGGTAAAGTGGACAACAGTGTGGGCTAGTGAAGCTACAGGGGGCAGAGCTACTGGGAATTTTGCAAGCCAGTGCAGCCGGGATTTGGGGATGTGGCTGCCCATGTGGTACGGGCTTTGTCTAACTGGCCCTGGGGCCAGAGCAGAACCTGAGGGATTGGAGAAGTCAAGCTGACCAATTGCTAAACACCTCTAGGCAATTCGCTTGTAAAATTCCCAGCAGCGCCCACCAGAAAGTGGAAAAGTGAGAGACAGAAATGTCTGTGAGTCCCAAGAGGCTCCACTTGGAAAGGTTTAGTTGCTTGTGGCCTGGAAAAGAAGGTGTGTTTTAAGTTGCAGAAAGTAGCAGCAGGTGGCTTTCCCTCTGAACAGAAACCAGGTGTGCAAGTGGTGGCTCTGAGAGTCAGCAGGAGGGCTGAAGACAGCTGTCCATCTTTCTCTTTAAACAGAGACAAACTGCACCGAGCGTGATCAGACATGACGGCTGGCGATTCGTGGAGCACAGACGATGACATGGGTGGGCCTCGTTACAGAGAAAGCGGGGATCATTGTGATGGACTAATCAGTGGCGGACAAACCAATGACCAGGGCACCCAGAGGGCTTAAGCAATCCCCAGAAGCAGGCTGTAGCTTTTCTGAAATGAAGGCTGAGTAAACACAGAAACGCAAAAAAGAAAAAAAAAAGTGTACCCAGGGCCTGAATCCAGGGGGACATGCATTTACCGGCGCCTCCTCCACGGCCGTGACTTCCCCATCTGTGGCCTGGTTGGTGGCAAATGGAGATTAGTAGGGAATCGCACTGGAGGGATATTGCTACTCAGTAGATTCTACAACATGAGGGCTGCTTCCTCCCCATCAGCTCCATCGTGCACAGCCGAAAGCCACTCGCTCTAGCCAGAGCCCGCCTTCTCCCTACCCTTGTGGAGAGCAAGTTGGCGCCCTCTCCTCCAATGTCAAATCCACATGCCCTTTGAACCCATGGCCCCATTCCTAGGAAGCAGGTCTATAGAACTACCAGCAGGAAAGGCCATAGGTAAGTGATGTATGCAAGAGGTTTCACTAGAGCTGTTTGTGGTCATGAAAATCTGAAGCAACCTAGATGTCCATCTGTAGGAGAGTCGGCCGAATTAGCGGTGGAAGCCTGTTATATTCTGAAGAAGCAGTCAAGTCCACTGAATTAATATAGAAGGGTATCTACAGCACAGCAAGGGAAGGAAGGGAGCTGCAAAGCAGTGTGCATGGTGTGACCCAGGCACGAAACCGATGTGTTTGTTGTGCAAGCAGGGAAAAGCTAACACTAGTCACCTCTGCAGCACGAAACTGGACAAGGGGTGTCCTTACTTGGTAAGTGTCTACAGTAGTTCATGTTTTAAAAGTCATTATACATTCATTTTTTAAAAATCAGAGACTTCGTGTTCCTGATCCAACTGATCTAATAAGGGAGGGGGTTCCCTCTTCTACTATATCAAATGAGAATTGGAAGGTCTCCCCTATGGAAGGAAGGCCTATGTGCCCATGTTTACTCCTTTTTGTGTATTTTGTTATCTGAAGAAAGGGGCCTTCACTTACCAAGGGAGCTTTGTGAGCCACAAAATTTGGAACAGCCCTACCCCCTCTCTTCTAGGGCTCTCTCAGATGGGGGCTACTGAGGGACACATTGCCTGGGAGGAAGATCCTTCAATGGCTATGTGATGGCTTTTGATCCAGGACTTCTCAACAGTGATGAGCAGATAAGTCCCTAGACCTGGGACTTGCTGTGAAGGTCTTCTTCATGATATATTTAACTGAACCAGCCTGCCAGGTCTCCTTGAGACATTTGCTGCAAAGGCGGTACTGGTTTTCGTGTCCTTTTGGCCTCAAGACTGTAGAGGGAGTCAGGAAATCTACCCATAAGAAGCCAATGAACAGAAAGTCAGTGCATCCAGGTAAGGCTGGAGAAAGCTCGGAACGGGAGAATGAAGACCCGGACCTGGTACTGCAGGTGATGCTCCTTCTCTGCCATCAGCAGTGGTTAGGGGCCAATATGTCTATACAAAGAACCCACTGTGCATTCCAAGGTCAAGGGGGCATTTATTCCTAATGAGTTTGGTGGCCCCCACGTCAGGTCTCTGACTTGTTTGCCAAAATGATCCTCGACATTTTCACACCGATTTCTTCACTCAGACCCTCCTAATGTGGTCTGTTATGTCCAGCTCACTGCACCAGCAGGGCTGTGACCATGGCCCAGAAGCTACTCTTCCATCCTGCCCAATTCGAACCAACCAGATAAAGCCCATGATGGACTAAGCACAGATCCTTAAAACTATAACTGGCACCCTTCTCTGTAGATAAGAACGATACCAAGTCTCTAGCTGCATTTCTTCCAGCCCTGAAGGAGAAAAACACTCCCAAATGAGCAGCGTCAAAAGTTGACAAGTGTTTATATCCTTGAGACATAAAAGAGCCTCCAGACCTCTGGCACAGCAACAGATAAACAAACGTCGATGGAAAGAGAAAAAGAGCTACAACACATTAGACACTGTTTGGAAGGCAGACTTGGGCTTCTGTTTGAAATGGAGTCTTCATGCCCTTCTCCGTTGCTGCATAAAGTGTAATCCTTAGAAGGGGCTTTGAAAGCTGTGCATGGGCCAGGTCACTGAAGCCTATGAACTCTGTAGCCAGGTGTGGCTGCTGTCCATGGAATCAAAGGACACTGGGTGAGGGGGACCACACAGTGCTCGGCAGCTGTCTAGAGAGGGCACTTTGGGCTCAGTGGACTTGAGTCTGGTCCCTCTCTCTGATCCCTCCTATACCTCATCTGTAAAAGGGCCAACAATGCTTCCTTTGAGGGTTAAATGAGGGAATGCTACTAAGCTTTCCAACCCCTTTCCTGGTTGAAGAATCTTAGTAACAAAGAAAGATCTAAAAGTCACTCAGACTGAAAATTAAAGAGCCGAGTCATTCTTTGGCCCAGCGGTCTGTATAATGGTTTCCCTTTACCCCAGATGTTCCTAGCTTCAAAAGACAAGCTATTTCCCTTCACATGCAAAGTTTGAATCTCTCCAAAACACAACTGGAGGTACTCTGAGTCATGAGATATCACAGTCAAGTCTCTCCTCCAGACCATGGAAATGGGGGAGTAGGAAGGGAGAAGAGCAGCAGAATAAAAAATTGTAATGTTTTACTTATAAACAATTTTTGTCAGTTTATCTTTCTGAACTGTGCTCAGGCCAGGACACTGCTTAAGACCCTTAGCATGATGGATACTTTGGTAGCTGGTAAGATTCCCTAAAAACTCAGAGCCAAACAATCTCTGGGGTTCTAGAGTGTCCTCTAAGACCCTAAAAGGTCATGACTGCTTAAGAAAAAACGTTAAAAAAAAAAAAAAGGAAAGTAGAAGGGGATGTCCTAGCCAGCATTTAACAAATGGCAGCTGTTATTGTTTCTGCCAATAACAGCATGCTCTAGAGAAGGGATTTTACTTACCATGACAGTGAAGGGGCTGTTGGGGATATCGACACCACCAAAGCGCACGTAGATTACATAGGTGCCTGGCTTGGCAGCCGTGTAGAAAATGTCATAGGTGCCATCCTCATTTTCAATGACATCAGCCTCAGCTTCAGTGCCATCTGGGGTCAGAACTGTGCAGGTCACTTTCCCCTTCCCGGCAGTCTTGGCGTCAACCACAAAGCCCACTTCCTCGCCGGTTTTCACAGTGGAGGCGATTCCAGGACCTGGAGAAAAGTTCAGGAGAAGAAAATGGAAGCTTCAGCGTGGACAGTTACCCTGGAGACCTAAAAACAAGTCACATGCTTTCATGTTGTCTGCACCTATTAACATTAGACCTTGAACTGCCACCACATACAGGGATGCCCCAGAGATCACCTGGGGAGGTACTGTTCAAGGGAGCATTTCATCCATTGATTATTAAATTAGAAGCATCTTAGGCTCTGACAGTCAACCAAATGTTGGATCTGGTTTGCCAGCTCTCAAGGATATGGGGATGAAAGCCAACTTTCATCAGCAAACATATATTGGGCATTTTCTTAAGTGCCAGATACACACAAAGGTGAGCAAAACACAATCTCTGTTCTCAAAATGCTCATAATCTAACAGAGCAGAGGGATGGAGGTCGGGAACCAGGAACAACAGCTCAACCTGCTGTGGGAATGCCGAGGGGGGATGAAATAACAGGGGGGGGAAATCAACTGTTCTTCAGAGAGGTGTCTTATACAAGCTCTAAGAATATATCCCAGAGTTGCCACATTGACAGAGGGCTTCCTGAGAAAGGGGGAAATGGCTGAATTCTGAAGGATAGGTGCTTCTGGCTAAGGGAGACTTTCAACCTCTGTTGCCAAACAATGACCAGTCTCTCTCTTTCTCTCTGTGGATCCCTTTACACAGGATCCACACAACATTAGGGAGTGTAGAAAAGTGTAAATTAAAAGCACACTGGCAAAAAATAAAAAATAAAGAGCAAAGCATGTAGAAGCAACAGACGTAAGAATATGTTGTTCAGACATGAGTAGAAACCAGACTGTGGAATCCCTTGAATAACAGGTGAGAGGTGTGACCTATAGGAGCCCCCAGGCTGAGCAGAGTATTTGCTAAGGATTGTGCCTAAACTAAGGAAGGGAAAGGAGCCTGGAAAGCAAGGAGGAAGTCACCTCCCAATAAATTAACATGCTCCCAGGTTAGCAAAGACAATCTGATTGTCTCTGGCACAGCATAGACCTAGCAAGTGGAAGACTGGCCAGTATTTCAAATTTTGCCAGGGCTGAGCCAAAAAGGGCAAAATGGGCAATTTATAAGCTTGCCCTGAAAGTCAAAAGATTTTCTTCATTCCAAACAAATGAGATATGAGAGAAATAGAACACATCCGGGGGGACCTATGTTTAATTTTATTTAAAGAGAAGCAAATCTGTTTCATTTCAGAGATGGGGATTCATGTTTTGAAGTCTGCTTGAAGCAGCATCAGAGTTGCAAGAGCTGTTCTTAGAAATAGAAGGGCCTGCAGTATTCAAATAGTCATTGCTTAGAAATGGAAGGAACCATGATGCTCAAATACTCCTGGAGAATTCCTCAGAGACTTAGACATAAGTCCCAACTGTTGAGGAAAAAACCTAGATCCTTGAATGTGTTTCTCTCATGGTGGCCTGAAGTGATCCTGAATAACTCTTGAATAATTAAACCACTCATGAAAGGCATGCATTAGCTGTTTTTCATGGGAGCAGCCATCACAGTTGATATCCCAACAAATGCACCCACATCACAAATAATACAATAGTTTTCATGTGCCTGGCACTATGCTAAGCATTTTTCATGCCTGACCTCTTCTAATCCTTGCAATAACCCTGTGAAACAGTCTCTGATCCTTAGAAGAGATTCTTGAATTTAAATGTTTTCAAAAAGATCTTCAGTCTAAGCATGGCTGACGCTCAGAATGGTTGAGCATTTTCCCTTGATCACACAGCTATTAAGTGACAGAGAAGGGCTAGACCCTGGCTTTCAGTCTAAAGCCCACACTCCTGACCTTAACCTGCACTCACCCGTGGCCAGGCACTTGCTGGCATCGCCTGTCTGTGTGGCCCGGATGCGGTAGGGAGACAATGGGATGTCATCCCCCCCATAGGTGACCCCAATCATATAGCGACCAGTCTTGTCGGGGATGTAGGTCACGGCGTACGTGCCATCTTTATTGTCCTGGACGATGGCTCTTTTGGGTTTTCCCTCTTGGTCCTGTGGAGCACAGAGAAATGCTATTTAGGATGTTGTCATCAAGACGTAGAAACAATTCATGGGAAAACTTGACACATTTTGCTCATTAATTAGTGTCTCTAGTGGGAGGAGACCAAATTACCGGCATAACACAATTTTTTTTTTGGTAGGGAGAGGAATGGGTCACAAACCTCTTTAACAACATGATGGACACAATCAATTCTTAGTAACTTTTCTGCCAAGTGAACAAATAGTGTTTTAGCCCCAAATCCACGGATATGTAGGGAGGCAAGGGCGCGGAGGCTCCTGCTCGCACATCACCATGATTCATTCGCCCTTCTCTCCTCAGTAACAGGACCCTAATCCTCAGCGAGGTACACTGCTCCGAGAATATAAGACTCCACTTTCTAGGTACAGCCACATGACTTGTGACAAATTTCTGGCAAATACGAAGGGAGTGGAAGTCTTGTGAGGGACTAATGACAGGGCTGTTTCAGAGAGCTGATTGATTGGAAGGCCCTATTTTCCCCTCTGCCTATCTTCCTCCTTCTAGCATGACATGTTAGTCCGATGGCCCAGCACCAGCAGCCTTGTGGTCCACGAGGAGACCTGAAGGACAGATGCCACACACGAGGACAGAGAAGCAGAGAGATAGAGCCTGCTTCATTGACAAGCCACACAGCACCCAGGTGCCTTGCCCTGGGCTTCTTTAACAAGAGAATAATTCCATGTGTTTAAGCCACTCTTACTTTGGGGCTTACTGGGATATGCAGCAGAACTTAGTCTTAACTAATCCAATGAGTAATTTAAAGCATTTTAATATAAAAACAGAGGAATAGCTATAACAGAGAGCAAATACATGAGAGTCACCAAAAGGAGGTACTTGGAGCTACACCCTCTGACCTCTCAGGCAAGCATGCATGTTCTCTTGCAAATTACTGAGTTTCTGGTGGGAAAAACCTGTCAAACATTGGTACCAGGTCTGAAATTGGTTATTAAAATCCTTGTTCTTACGGCTGGCCAGAAAATTAGGTCTTATTAATGAAGTCTGACTCCCAAAAATAACTCAAAGTTACCGTTATCTGAACAGCAAGCAGGCCTTCCCCGGCATCTCTGGCATCGATTGCAAACTCCACAGGAAGACTGGCGGGCACACCATAGGAACTGAGGCCAGGGCCACTGGCAGTCACTTTGCTGGCATCATATGTGGGAAGGACCTTGACCTTAAAGGGACTTGATAGACACACAAACCCTCAGTAAGTATGGATACACGTCAACCCTGCTCCATCTGACCTCTCTTACACAAAGAAACTGGGACTGCAGAGAGGATTTCAACAGTAGATAAAGTGGTAAGTTTAGTCAACGTCTTAAGTCCAGCAGAAAGGTACAATTATGAGGCAGTAACCACTGTACAACAGACTTGCTTTCCCTGACTGCATTCCAGGGGATACAAATTAATTCCAAAATCAGTTTGGGAAACATGGGGTTAAACATGTTTAATCTACTTTTATTATGCTAAAACAAAGGTCACCAAAATAGAAAGAGAATATTAAAATTTCAGTTTTAATATTTTATCTCATCTGCTTATTTTTTATTTTTAGTATACTTTAAATCAGGGGTGGGGAACATCCGGCCCTCCGTCTGTAATCATTTGGTCTGGCCCTGCAAGGCAACTGCAGGTGGGATCAGAAATTCAATAAATCTAGGAGTTTTATTCATAGCTCATTTTTAAGTTGATAATTTTGTATGGCCCTTGAGTGATGTTATAAATATCCAAATGGCCCTTGGCAGGAAAAAGGTTCCCCACCCCTGCTTTAGATGGTATTCTATTAGTAAAGCAATACATAAATATAATTTATAAATCATAGTTCTATATAGCTAGAGCTATACACATGCCTTTATGTAAAATATATGTAAATCTTAAGTATGATTTGAAAAAACCTTTGAAGGCTGTTATGAGATGTGAAGAGCTTACGCAATATTTTTTGTATTAATATGAATGAAAAGCAAGGTTCTATCCACCCCTCATGGGAATGCTACTATCAACCAAATCCTCAAGTAAAGGAGTAAAAATCTTTGCCCTAATCAGAAAACTACTTACAGGGTCAGCAGAAAAAAGACTTTGATAAACTAATACATTTCCCCCCCAAAATTCCCAACTCCTAATTCCAACTTTTCTTTAAGTTAATAATGGCTGAAAGGAACCCCGGGGGGAGGGGGAAGGGGACAGAAGCCACAAACATCAAGGCTAGTATGTTCTACACTTGTGCAGAGCACGCAGGTCCTCGGTGGTGCTCGCAGATCAGATGGATGGATGGATGGATGGATGGATGGATGGATGGATGGATGGATGGATGGATGGACCACCAGAGCAATGCTGGTGAACTGTGCAGAGGGGTGGGTCTGGCTTGGCCCCTTCCCTCAGTGTCGGGAGCTTACCTACGAGGGATCTCTTCATCAGCATATTTAACGGAGACCATGTAGGGCCCTTCCTGGGATGGGGTGTAGGTCACTGTGTGTGTGCCATCCCCATTGTCCACCACGTTCACTGGCTCCACCAGGCCTGAGGGCAGAGAGGGAGGTCTGAGGAACTGCCTAAGCTCCCCTATACTCCCCCCCTGGGCTAAGTTCAAAACGGATCACATACATCCCCAAGAGCTATTGCTTTCCACTGATGAGTAACATAAATGCAAGCAGGCCGAAATCAGGGGCCTAAGAAATCACAGGAGACATGGTCCTCAATTCATGGTTGCACAAATGACCCCAAGAGACACCTTTAGCTTATTATTGGCTGAAGTACACTCAGTCAGCCCTCGAGTATAATTAAGGAAACTGCCAGCACTTGTTCCTGGAGGGCATATGGTGAAGATGCATGTTACAGGTATGCAATAATATCCTTTCAAGCTGGTTAGGCATGCTTTAGATGCAGCAATCTTTACTCTATAGTTGAGAAAGGGCCAGAGGGTCCAGAATGCCAAACAGCAAAAATTAACCAATGGACTGGCTGGTAAAGACTTGTGGCCACCTTTGAGCAAAGACCAAAGGTGCCAGCACACTGGGTGTAAGTGCAGGGCAGGTGAGGGTGCCCTTCTCATGGGGTGAGGGGACCATCAATGTGATGCATGCGAGAGACAGCTGGAGATTATGTTAAAGCATAATCAAGGCATGCACTGGGTTGGTAGATTCTAGATTCCAGTTCTAAATTAAGCGTCAAGGATGGGTCAACTGCAGGGTAGGTTAACCAAAGCATAGCATACTCATTAAGCAAGGCAGAGGAGGCGGGGACAAGGCAATTTCAGGGGAGAGGCCAGCAAGAGGTATTCAGATTATATAAATTAGAGCAGCATCCAATAGGAAAATGCAAACCTGTCTCCATAAAGTCACCCTTCGGGTCACCTTTAAAGAACTCTGAAATGGCTTTCAAGGGGCTGCGCCATGACTGGGAATCTGTCTCATCAGTTAAAATTAAAAGGCTGTTACTTAAGAATCCTCCATAATAGAGGTACATACCTAAACTTCTCTCTCTCTTACAAGCACGTGTGCGTGTGAGTGCGCGCACACACACACACACACACATAGGTCTTGAGGTTCAGTAATTCTGTACAATCAGATACTAATCCCATGACCTCATTTCCCCAAACCATTTCTACCCTGAGTATTAAAGGGCATAACCTCCTACTGAACTAACCCCTTCAAGGAAAAGATTCCTCTTCAAAAAAGGAGCCCACCCTATCTGCCACTTCTGTGAAACCAAGAACGCATCACTGGGGACAAATCTAGATAATTTTAAAAATTAGGCAGAGAATGACACCTTTTTAATGCTGGAAGAGGAAATATGGTTGTGCCAAAAGAGGTGAATTTTAACACACTTAAGTGCTTTGTCCCAAAATGGCCTGCTCGCCTTACCAAACCCCAATTCCAGGCTGCCAAAAGGGTGGACCAAAGGGCCAACAAAGCCCATTCCCCAAAGAGACCCCCTCTCTCCAGGGAGTTGGAAAAGTGACAAAGCCAGGTGCCATGTGGGCCGAGTACCTGTCATGTCCAGAAATTTTGGGGATGTTCCACGTGAGCACCAAGACATTTCAAACAGAGATATCACCTCCAAACCCACCACCCACCCAAACCTAGACTAACCCCACTCACCTCACAAACACCAAAACACAAAATGAAGCAGCTGCACAATTACTGTATATGTGAGAGTCCAAACACTACCTGCTGCATTTTTCTACTTTAAAAAAAATTGAACCTGAGTTGTGGGTTTAAGTCCCAGTAGGGGATGTGCAAGAGGCAGCCAATCTGTTTCTCTCTCCCGCCCCCCC